AGTCCCACATCGGGCTCCCTGCTCAACAGGGAGTCTGCTTCTCCCTCTGCCCTCTTCCCTCTCGTGCTCTCTGTCTCTCATTCTCTCTCTCAAATAAATAAATAAAATCTTTAAAAAAAAAAAAAAAAAAGAAAAGAAAACGCACAACCTGATCGAAAAATGGGCAAAAGATCTGAACAGACATCTCACCAAAAGAGATCTGCAGAGAGCAACTAAGCGTATGAAGATATTTGACATCATATGCCATTAAGGAATTGCAGTAAAATAATGAGATACCACTACACATGTATTAGAATGGCTAAAATCCAAAAATATTGACAACACCATTTGGCAATGTTATTAATGTCCAATATATTTATATTCTATGATACAGGAATTCCACTCCTAGAAATATACCCAGGAGGAATGAATGCATATATCCTCCAAAAGATATGCACAAGGATGTTTGAAGCATCTTTTTTCTTAATAATAAAAAACTGGATACATCCCAAATGACCATGGAAAGTAGAAAGGATAAAGTGTGACGTATTCATACAATGGAATACTACATAGCGATGAAAATTAAGGAACCACAGCTACATTCCACATCACAAATTTTTTTTTATTAAAAATTTTTTTTTTTTTTAAGATTTTATTTATTTGACAGAGCACAAGCAGAGGGAGAGAGAGGGAGAAGCAGGTTCCCTACTGAGCAAGGAGCCCGATATGGGACTCGATCCCAGGACCCTGGGATCATGACCTGGGCCGAAGGCAGCCGCTTAACCGACTGAGCCACCCAGGCGTCCCCCACATCACAAATTAATCTCTGACGTAACATTGAATGAAAGAGGCTAGGTGTAAAGGAATTACATACATATGATTCCACATATATGAACTCCAGAAACAGGCTAAATTTATCTCTCTAGGGCAATGGAGCTCAGAATACTGGAGACATTTGGAGGGGAATACTGACTTTGAATAAGTTTGCTAGATGCTAGAAACATTCCATACCTTGATCTGGGTGGCAGTTATATTATACACGTATAATGATATGCTATGTATACATGTATAAAAATCAAACAGTGAACTTATAATGTGGGCACTTTATTATCTGTAAAAAAGGGAAAAAATTGATCATTTTTTATTTTTTAGCTATAAAAAAAGAAAAAATAGGGGCGCCTGCGTGGCTCAGTTGGTTAAGCATCTGCCTTTGGCTCACATCATGATCCCAGGGTCCTGAGGTCCTGGGATCAAGCGTCAGGCTCCCTGCTCAGTGGGGAGTCTGCTTCTCCCTCTCCCTCTGCCCCTCCCCCCTGCTAGTGCACAAGCACTGTCTCTGCCTCTCTCAAATAAATAAAATCTTTAAGAGAAAAATAAAAAAGAAATAAGGGACAGCAGCTCGGAAAAAAAAGGAAGAATTCTTTATGTCATCATCTTGAATAAACATTAAAAAACAACATTTCCAATACATGTTAAAATACGTAACTTTGAAAATAATGTTCATCTGTATACCATCAAATAAATAAACAAACAAACAAACAAATAAATAAAACAAACCGCTCCGCGTTCACTAGGAATTCAAGCACCACACTTGGGTTAATGCGTTCCAGGCACACTTAGGGGTCTGATGTGAGCTGGTGCTGGGATACCAGCAACCAGGGAAGGGCTGGGCCCAAGTGGAGAGTGTGTGGCTAGGATCATGCCTTGTCACCAGCCTGGGCTGGGCCTGTGGAATGCTGAGACTCTGCTTCAAGGTACACGACAGAAAACTGGAAGGGAGGGAGGGTAAATTGGGAGAGGGGGCAAAGAAAAAGGACCAAGGGCAGATTCCCCATGCTCTGGCCCATAGCCCAAGTCCTAGACTCCTGACCTCACCAGAGACGCAATAGATGTAAAACAAGGCAGTTGGTTTCCAAGTGGGAAGAGCGCCAGCCATGATTTTTGCTGCCCAAGGAATGAAAAATCAATAATAATCATTTTTATGATTCATGTTCATCCTGTTTTATTCCAGAGCACTTTACCGAAAGGCCCCTTGTCCCAGCCAAGGAGCTCAGGGCCAGCATCCAGGACACCTGGACTCCAGATCTCTGTGTGGAAGACTTGGAACTTTCTTGGGATCTAAGTTTCTCAATTGTGGCAAGTGACATTGTGGAGCATTCTACAGTTTATATACATCCTCTCAGTTGCCTCTCCAACCCCTGGGAGGAAAGCAGAGAACACAGGACTGCTATTCTCATTCTATAGACAAGGAAACAGGATCAGATGAAGTTAAGAGACTTGATCAAACACACACTGTTTAAAAAGGTGGGGAAGCTGAGAAGCTGGGAGCTGTGACTTCTGACTCCAAACCCTTTGCTCTTTCCCAGTCAAAATAAGAAAGTCAGTCCCTGCCTTCTCTAAGTACAGTCTGAGATGGATTGATCCTACGCAAAATGCCCTGGGTACGTTCCAAGGGCAGAGCTGGATTTGTGGAGGCTTAACTTGTACAATGGAGGGGGGTCTTTAACAAAAATAATACCAAATGATGAAATAAAATTAAGAACAGGGCATTGCACAGGGCCCGCAAATGAGGGGCCATTAGCTCAAGCATCATTAGCAACAAGGTAAATCGGCCTCTCCTACGTGCCCAGCCCTCTCAAAAATCCGGTCACATCAGATCTTGACCGGGGTTTCCTCCCTGTTTGTAAAACGTGGCAGATGTGGGCTGTGGAAGTCCTGGGAAAGGAATCCCATTTCTCCCAGGAGACGATGGGAATTACAGCAGCAGCGGGGCCGTTGAGTGAGGATGGAAAAGGCCGTGTGCCAGGGGAGAGTCCAAAGGGGCTGGTGACCCAGCCGGCCGCGCTGTGGGCAGCACGCAGTGTGGGCAGCACGCAGTGTGGGCAGCACGCAGTGTGGGCGCGGGAGGCCGGCAGCCTGCGAGCCCCCGGCGCCCGGAGCAATGGCGCTGCCCGGGGAGCGACGGCCCAGACCGCAGGAGAGCCTGTGGGAAGCAGGCGCTCTCCAGTCTTCTGGCTGCCTGCGTTCCTGACAACCCTTCCTCCGAGGAGGGGAGGCAGAGACGGACGACCGCAGCCGTCGGCAGTGGGAGGGTGGATGGTGGTCCCCGCCCGGGCCTTTCGACCCGCGGTCTGAAGGGCGGTGGGTGGGGTGCGGGAGGCCTACGCGAAGGCTGCCCCGCGGCGGCTCGGGCGGCCAGGCCCGGGTGCCAGGCTCCCCTCGCGGCTCCCCGCCGCCGCCGCCGGGGGGAGAAGCGGGGGGGGGGGGGGGAGCAGCGCCCGCGGCCTGCTTTCCCAGGGCTGGCCGAGCCTTTTTGACAAGCTGATTGCATGGCGGGGATTGGCTGGTCCGGGCGTGACGCCGGTAACAACAAAGGTGGAGTTGGAAGAAATTAGATTAAAGGAGAAGGGGGGGGGAAATTAAAGGGGGAGCTGGCTGGGGACAGGAGGCAGCGGCCGAGGGGGGCCATGCGCGAAGCGCGGTCTCCCGGCTCCCACTTCGCCCCGGAAGCCCCTTCGCGCAGACCCACCGGGATTAGGCTCTCCACCCCAGCCCCGGCCCAACTACCGAAACAGAAGGGGGGGGGGAATGGCTGCTGCTTCTTGAGAAATCCCTCTAACTCCCACCCTGACACCCCTTGCTACGGCCCAGGGGGAGAACTTTTTGCTCGCACACCTCGGATCCTAAACCCCGCGGAGGTGAGGGGCTTTGAGAACAACGAGAGGCTCGCTCTAAAACCCGGAAGGCCCGCGCGGGGAGCCGAGATCCGGCGAGGCGGGGTGCTCCCCCGGTTTTCAATGTGTTGCAAATCTAAGAGCTTCTTTCTTGCCCTTTTTTTTTTTTTGTAACACCCCCCTCCTTTATCCCCCACCCCCTCGCTTTGGCTTCAGGGTTGCAAAAGCAAAGAGCAATAAAAAAAAAAAAAAAAAAAAAACCGCGCACACACTCAGACACACACCAGTGGCGACAGGGGAGAGTTGGAAAGACGCAGGAGAGAAGCAGGAGGCAGGAGGCAGCGGGGAGGGAGCAATGGGAGCGGGAAGCAGGCAGGTTCCCTCGCAAATCCCCCTCCGGCCCCACGTCGTTTCGCCGGCCCCGGCAGGGGAGCAAGGAGCCGGGCTAGCAGATGGAGGAGTGGAGCTCGCTCTAGGCAGCGGGCTTGGCCGGAGAATGGAGGAGCCGCCAAGCGACCGGCTGATTGGAAGAGAAACGCAGAGCGATGGAGGCGGGGGTAGGAGGACGATTTCTCTGCGGGGACTGGCGGCGGCGTCTACGCCCGGGTCGGGCGCTGCAGAGCTTGGCTAGCTTTCAACCCGCGCTCGCCGGCTTCAGCCCCGCGCGCCCCCACCCCCAGCCCTCCCGGCGGCTCCGCAGGTGAGTGCGAGCTGGGGGCAAAAAACCCCAAAAGTCTCAACACGCCCGCCCTGCCCCCCCACCAAAAAAAAAGAAAGAAAAGCATTTTTTCTTTTTCTTTTTTTAATTTTCGTGCAGCCCCCATCGCGGTGGGAGGGAAGGGGGTGAGGCTGAGTGGCCCGGAGGAGGCGGAGGGGCCAGGCGAGGCCGGGGTGGCCCGGGAGGCGGCGGCGCCGAGGCGGCTCTGACGGGCGAGCGCTCGGAGCGGCGCTGCGCTGCGCCGAGGCGGGCGGGCGGGCGGAGCGGGGCGGGCGGAGCGCGGCGCGTGGGGCTCGCCATTAGCCGTCGCTCCGCTTCGCCATCTCGGGCTTTGTCTGGCGACTCGCTGCCCCGGCGTCGGCTGCGGCGGAGCTGCGGTTCCGCTCTTCCGCCCGCCGCACCCCTCGGTGCCCCTGGCCCGCGCTCCCATTCACACGCTCGGTAAGTGAGCCCGGGCTCCGCGGATTTCGGGGGAGAGGGGTTGCTGCGAGTGGCGGCGGCGCCGATCTCCATGCGCCCGGGCAGGCCTGGGGAGCCATGCCGGGCTGGATTGAACCGGCTCCCAGCGCTGGTCCTCCGCCGAAGCCCGTCGCTCCCTCGCGGTTTCGGGGTGTAAGGAGCAAAGGGGATTTTTTTTTTTTTTTTTTTTTTTAATTTGCAGGGAGGGCATTTTGTACGGGTAATTTTTTTTTTTTTTTTTTTAAGTTTCGTGTGTGTTCCGTTCGGCAGCAAGGGGACCGCGAGGTAGGCGCCGAAGCCTGGCGCCGCGATGGGCGTGCGTGCGCCCCAAGCCGGTGGCCACGCTCCGGGGAAGAGGGTGGGCGCGGAGCGCCCGCTCCAGGAGGCGGGAGAGGGGAGCGAAGTGAGGACTGCCGTGAAGCCCGAATCTCAGCTGGGAGGACTTGGGGGAGAGCTCCGAAGCAGAGCTGCGGGCACCCCTCAGCCTCCCCGACCGCCGGGGGGCCCTCCGGGCACCCTCTCTGCGGCCGCGCCTCGCGCCCTCCCTCCCGCGCCGGCCAAGCTTGCTAGTTCCCCCGCGGGTCTGGCGAGGTCGCTCTCGGCGCCCGCCCGCCCGCCTCGGCTCCGAGTCCCGCCGCCATCCGGGCGGCTGCGTGTCTCCCTGCCCCGGCCCCCCCCTCCCCGGCGGCGGCGGCGGCAGCAGCAGCAGCAGCAGCAACAGCCGCCGCCGCCGCCACCACCACCAGCACTACCACCACCACCCCCCTCCCCTCCTTCCTTCCCTCCGCCTCGGCCGCCCGGGTCCCCCCAGCTCCCGCCCCTCCTCCCAGCTGCCCCCCGCGGAGCCCGCCCGGGCAGGCTGTGGGAGGGAGCGGAGCCGGCGAGGCGGGCGGGCTGGCGCTCGCTCCCCGGGGGTCGGTGTGCGCTCTACGGGGAAGGACGCGCTCGCTGCCCCGCTTCTCCCGCCCCCCCTCCCGCTCCTCCTCCTCCCTTCTCCCTCCTCCTCCCCGCTCCGGCGGCGGAGGCTGCGGCGGCGGCGGGGGGTGTGCGAGCTGAGGCCGGGGCCGGCGGGCGGGCGGCGGGCGGGCTGCCTGCAGGCGGAGGGCGCTGTGCTTTGTGCTTTTCGCCGCGAGGAGCAGCAGGCAGCAGCAGCCACAGCCGCCGCCGCCCCAGCAGCAGCCGCCGCCCCAGCGCCGCCGCCGCGCCCGGAGGAGGAGCCGCTGCCGCCGCGGGAGGGAGCTGCGGCTGTGCCCGGCCGAGCGGGGGAGGGCGCCGCCGCTCAGAGCCGGGGAGGGAGCCGCCGGAGCGGGAAGCCCGGAGGCCGCGCTGCGCCGGGTAACCGAGGCGGCTGAGGACGCGCTCCGGGGTCGGGGCCAGGCGGCGGGGAGCGAACCGCGGGTGCCGTAGACGCCGGGGGGGAACCCGGGGCGCCCTCCAGGCAGGGGACTGGACGAAGGAGGATCAGGGCACTGGAGAGGACGCCGAGAGCCGGGGGAGGGGAGGGCAGGAAGCGAGGCCCGAGCCGAGCCCCGGCCGCGGGCACAGGAGCCCGCGCTTCTCCGAGCCGGCAGGCGCAGTTCTCGCCGGCCGCCGGAGGGGGCGGCGGGGCCGGTGAGCGCTGCGCCCCCGCCTCGCGGCCGCCGTCCTCCCGCCCTCTCCTTGGCTCGGCTCCCCGGAGGCCGGGGCGGGGGCGCCGGCGGGGCTGGGCCGCAAGCTCGGGGGAGGAGGCGGCGGTTCCCGCCGTGGTCGCGCCTCTGCGCTGGGCTCCTCCGTGCGCGTCGGGGTGGCTGGGCGGTGGCGGCGCCTCTGACCGGGGTGGGTGGCTCGGGGGCGGGGGGGCAGGCTAGGCCGCTTCTCTCCGGCTGCTCGCCCGCCCAGGCGGGCGGGGACGGCGTCGGGAGCCCGAGGGGGGGGGCGGCGGGAATCCGGATCCGGTCCCCGGGGGCGGTGCGGCCGCTGCGCTCCCGGGCTGGCGGCGGCTGCGCTGCGTCCGGGTCCCCGCCGGGTTGCGGAGGCGGGGGGAACCGGCCGGGGGGAGGCGGGAGGAGGAGACTGCAGCGCGTGCCCGCTTCCGCGGCCGCGCGCGCCCTTTACCCGCCCTTCCTCCTCCCCCGCCCTCCAGCCTGGGGCCTCCCCGGGGCGGGCGCACAGAGGAGGAGGAGATTTTTTTTTTTTTTTTTTTTTTGGCCGGGGTGGGGGAAGGAGGGCGGAGGGCGGGCGCTAGCTGCACGCGGGAGCTGGGAGCAGTCTCTCGCGTGGGCAGGGGAGGGCGCACGCGGTGGAGCCGGGCTGCGGGGCGGGGGGGGGGGGTGGCGCACTCCCACACCCACCGACCCATTAGGTCTCCTGGGGTCTTGGCAGGGTCTCCGCGAGAGGTGGACTTGTGCCCCCCTCCCCTCTGGGGGGGGGAGGAATAGAAAGTCCCTCAGCTCGCATCCCGCCTGAGTGGGGACTGGTGTTTCTCGTTAAGGGTGAGGTGGGTTTCACCGCGGGTTGCCCGGCCAGCACGACCGAGGAGGTGGCTGGAGGAGGCGGCTGGACGGCTGAAGAATGAACGGAGAAGCCGACTGCCCCACAGACCTGGAAATGGCCGCCCCCAAAGGCCAAGGTAGGAGCTCTTTAACTTATGTGCTCTTTTCCCACATGGCTGGCTGCAGGGCCCACTCCCCTTCCAAAGGGGTCGTCTGCATTCTCTGAATTGAGATGAGGGGGGACATCTTCAGTTTTATGAGTCGAGTTTGGCCAAACCCAAGTTATTTGGCCTTGAGGCTGTGAACCGTATTTTTCACGCTCCATTCTTGGGTTAGAGCGGGAGAAGGAGGTCTGTGCCAGCCTTCTTTCTGGGGTTCCCAGGCAGGCCAGAGTGTGTCCTGTCCTCACCCAGTGTCCTGGAATGGGAGGAAGGATGAGGAATGCGGGGGAAGGGGGACAAGAAAGGGATTGGGGAGGCTTTTCAGGTGTTTTATTGTTATTCAGAGGACAAGGTTCTTGGTCAGGCAGGTGGAGAGAGAGGGTATTTTGGTGGTTTGAGACTCCAAGCCAGAAGAAGGTCCATAACCAGACCCTACCCCATCCAGTGGGCATCCTGTGTGTATGAGGGCAGGGGGTAGGATGAAGCTGAGCATCTGGCCATGACTGGGGGACACTGGGAGGAGAGAGGATTATTGGCCCATGTGACCCACCGTGTGGAAGCCCTGACCCAGGTTAGCAGATGCAGATGCAAATGAAGAGCCCTTTTGACTCCTAGCCCTGGATGTCTGTTCTCCCAGCTTACCTTCCAGGGTCGCTACCCTCCAGAGAGGCCTACTGGAGCTGTATTTCAGTGGCCGGAAATAGCTGGTTCAGACCCCTTTTTTGGCCTCCATGGGGAGTGGGACCCAGAAGACAACTCAGAATTCTGGGGGTTCTCCCTGGAGCCAGGGCCCTGACAGCCTTTGCCCACCTGTCTGTCTTGCCTCCCAGCTGTCCTGTATGGTTTTTCCATTTCCATTCCATTTTTCTTACTTGCCCCAAATTACTCAAATCTCTGACGTTAGTTTACAGTTGTGCAGGAGAGAACCGTCTGCATGGGTTCTTACTTCCCACACTCCATCCTCAGTCCTTGCACATCTATGGGATCCACCTAGAGCTTAAACTAGGCAACACATTTAGATGTGTTGTGCCTCCCTGCTTCTCTCCCCTCTCCCAGTAAGTTCGCTGCTGGCCCACCAGGCCCCAAATCACCGCAGCCTCATTTCTTTCTCTTCCCCACAATAAATAGTAGCCTGAGGCAGTCTGGCATGTTAGAAATGATCATGGTTTTGAAGTAAGCCAGACCTGACTTCAAGTCTGGCTTTCTAGGTATGATGCTGTCTGGACTGGAATTCCTGTTCTAATCCATATGGTCACAGTTTTCCCTTATGACTAGATCATGTCTTGTCTTTGCCTTCAGATCGGAGGTAACCAGGGATTTGGGATGCTCTGGGAAAGAAGGATTGAGCACTTAAGGACTGGGGAACAGATGAGGGGAAAGCATGAGCTGGGCATGATTGCTTTTCTTACCCCTCCCCAGACCGCTGGTCTCAGGAAGACATGCTGACTTTGCTGGAATGTATGAAGAACAACCTTCCATCCAACGACAGCTCCAAGTTCAAAACCACCGAGTCACATATGGACTGGGAAAAAGTAGCATTTAAAGACTTTTCTGGAGACATGTGCAAGCTCAAATGGGTGGAGATTTCTAATGAGGTAACTGAATCCCCCCCCTTTCCTGACACATCTTCACGAACCCCTGCCTCAACCTTCCTGGTGGGGGAGAGGAAACAGAAGTCTGTAAACAGGAAGGAAAGAGACCAGGCGAGGTGCTCATGTGGTCGCCCTTGTGCATTTGGGAGGTGGCACGGTTGACAGCGCCGGCCTAGAGTTCTCAGTTCTGCCACTTTCTAGCTGTGTGGCCTTGAATACTTACCGTCTTGGAGCTTCTGTCGCCTGAGCTGTTCTGGGGATTGAATGAGGTGCTGGCATGGACAACACGTCGAGGTCAGGTGGTCACCTTGTTGCTGTCCTTTGGTGTGTGTGGACTGCCTGGTCCTCTGCCGGAGGCATGGGCCAGCACCTCGGTGTCAGGGGCTGAGTGGTGGCTGTTGGCCTCTGCCCTTCCCCCTTTGATAAATTCAGTCTAGTGGAAAATAGAGGAGACCCGTTGGAAAAGGGGGATATGCTCTGGGGTGGTGTTTCCCTTTCCGAACTTCCCCTTACACTCACCTCCTTTCTTCCTCCAGGTGAGGAAGTTCCGAACATTGACAGAATTGATCCTTGATGCTCAGGAACACGTTAAAAATCCTTACAAAGGCAAAAAACTCAAGGTGAGTTTCCAGGAGGAGGAACATGACATGTAGGAGAGGAATGGGCCAAAGAACAGATACTGTCTGACTTTCACCATGTCCTTGACCCTCCTTCCAGAAACACCCGGACTTCCCAAAGAAGCCCCTGACCCCTTATTTCCGCTTTTTCATGGAGAAGCGGGCCAAGTACGCGAAGCTCCACCCTGAGATGAGCAACCTGGACCTGACCAAGATTCTGTCCAAGAAATACAAGGAGCTGCCGGAGAAGAAGAAGGTGGGGGGAGGGGGGTGAAATGGGGAGGAGGGAAAAGGCAGGGAGCAGCTGTGCAGTGTAGGTCAACTGTGGGGGGAGGCTTAGAGGGACTTGGCATGGGGGGGGGCGGTCAGCAGAGCAGAGTGTAGGGCCTCGGGCAGCCACACTTGATCTCCTCCTCCTGGTCCCACACACAGTCAGGTGCAGGGACTGTCGAAGGCGTAACATGGACTGCGGCAGGTGCTCAGTCCAGCCTTTGACCCCACAGACAGTCCACAGTTTCTCTCACACAGCTCGGCGTCTGTGCTCACATGCTCTGTCAGGCTGGCCCAGCGGTTCATCCTCTGACGTTTCCCACTGTGGTCTCATCTGATGCATGCAGTATTCCCATACAGGGAACCCCTGGAGAAGGGATTATTCTTATTGTGTGGGCACAGAACTGAGGCTCAGGAGGGACTCGTGTCCTGGGTCCCCCCACTAGTGACAGCGGAGCAGGACCCGGGTGTGCTTCTCGCTGCCACATCCACACGTGAAGTGGGCTTCCTTCCTCCACGCACACGTTCGCCCGAGGATGCCCCGTGTCCCTTGTGGCCTCCTGCAGTCCCAGGCCATCAGAGATCATTGACCTTGGGCAGAGGTTACCCCAGTCTCCCAGGCAGGGTTGGACCCAGTCCTGCACGGTGAGGTCAAATGGACCCTCCCTGAGGTTTGCAGCCGGGCCCTGAGCGAGATGGGGGTGGGGTGGGGAGATGGACAGCAAGGGTGCCGGGCTGCGAGGCGGAGCCACGGAGAGGGGTCAGTGAGGGGCAGCGGGAGAGAGAAGCGGGCACACTGGGGGAAGAAGAGACCAAGCCGCACATAGCCAGCTCTCAGGAGGCGGCACTGGCCGCCGCCCCACGCGTAGTCCTCCGTCTTCCCGGTCCGTGCACTCTGGCTGCAGGCTCACATGCCCCCTTGGTTCTGCACCCGAAAAGGAGCCAGCTTGGCGGGGTGAAGCCAGCTGTCTCCACTGCCACCCAGGCCCAGCCGGGGTAGGAAGTGGCGGAGTTCTCCTTGGCCCCTCTGACGGGGAGGTCGCAGAGCAGACCGTACACACGACACCCAGACACTCAGGGTGTGGGAGGCAGAGGCCAAGGGTCCCAGGACCAGGGAGGGCTAAGACACTACGCAGTAGAGTGGACAGGGTCCTGGCCTGGGCAACCCAAGACTTGGGCCCGTTCTCGTGACTACCCCTGAATTGCTGTGTGTGTGACCTGTGGTAAGTTCCTTCGTTTCTCTGGACCTGGTCTTTATCTGAGGTGCGGAGGGTAAGCCCGACCCTGTGCGTGACTTCTTGTTCTGTGTAAGGAGGACTGAGACTGGGGCAGAGTGGACTGGGCTCTGTTCCCCGTTTTCTGCAGGAACCACAGGGGAAAGTGAGGCTGTCTTTTCCTGTGCCTGGTGCCTCTTCTGGGAGAGGCAGGGGTTGAGCTCAGTTGCTGTGAGCCCCTGGACCCTTCCAAGGCTGACTCTTGTGACTCGGGGAAAGAGAAAAGAGAGCTGGACGTTGAGTGGTAGCCAGTAGAAGAAGAGAGGAAAGGGACCGGTGGGAAAGGAAGGGTGAGGAATGGAGAGGCAGAAACAAAACAGGGAAGTAGTCAGGTGATGGCGGGAGGGAGGCCAGCCCTACAGAAGGAGGTGGAGGAGAACGAAGAGAAGCCAAGGCAGAGGAGAGCCAGTGGGGTGGGGGAGGGAGGGCTGGAGGAGCCTGCCAGCTAGGAGCCGGGAAGAAGGTGACAGGAAGGGGTTCAGAATGGGGAAGGCATGTGAAGGATAGCCAGGGGACCGGAGGTACTACCACTCAGTGGATCGGGAAGAAAACCCAAATTCAGGAGACCAGTCTGTTAGAGTGTCATTTACATTGCAAGAATTCACTCTGGGTGCCTTCAACACCGTCTCCCCTCAGGCCTTGAAAGCAGGACTCAGCCTGCCCCCTGGCCCTGTGGGCCACCTTGGAGGCAGCAGACCAATGCCGGCTGCCACAGACCTGGGAGGAGGGAATGATAGGGGCAAGGCCTACACCACCTCCTGACTCATCACGGGGAGTTCTGCGGTGTTGGGGAAACTGGGGGAGGTAGGGTTGGTAGGGTCAGGGGGAGTCCCAGCGCTGTCACTGCTCACTGGGACTGGGTGAGGCCGGGTCCCACTTCTGGGACTCTCCCTCTCAACAGGAGGGACTAGGATGTAGAATGTGTTCTGGGAGACCCCAGTAGCTCCCACTGT